AGAAAGAGAGAAATAATCGTTTTATTCAATAAAGAAACAACACATAAACGGAAAGGACTTGGTGCAACGTGCATCGCTAACAGTGGCAGGACTCTATATATCACAATGACTCAGTGCACTCGTTCGAGTAAAATAGTAGTTTATTAACGTGCTAATAAAATAGTGCTCCAAACATTAACGTACATAGTCTTATATTTATTACATTTTATAAACTTTTTTATAAAAAACATTCACTTAAAAAAAGATTGGTGTATGTGCATCGTGTTAGACTATACTAGTTAAACAGAAAATCGGTGCGCCAAAACAACATACAATGTCGAAGATAAACAAGACCTTAACAGATTGTCTACAAATAAAAGGGGGAGGTGACAATGAAAGCGTGGGTAAAAATTGGGGGGTAACATGGCCGGGGGAGGGGGGGTTCATCATGTCAGGGCTAGCGTACAAACTAAATTAGGCCGAGATAGTTATTTACTCTTCCCAAACAAACCGGTTTTTTTGATGCTCTAAAACAACAAAATATAGACAACAACAGTTCTACGTTAACAGCATCGGGTCTTACAAATACATCTAATACAACTAAACTATCTAGAAAATAAAGATACATCGACAGTAAATGTGGTGGGTACAACCTGAGAAATAAATGCAAACACTTAGGCCCAGTTGAGCTTCACCACGCTATCCTATACACAGCCGGACTAAGCTAGGACTAGTACTGCCATTCGTCTGACAAACCTCAAACTCACTATTTATATACATTAGGCCTGCATATAAACATATACACATTCGCTCAATATTTCATATTCTACCGGGTCTGAAAATTATAAACCTCTGATAGTAGTAACACTTGTAAAACATCATTGTATTGTTATTGCTAGCTTAAACAGTAACTATATTTGATCCGTGTTTTCTTGTGTACTGAAGTCATATTCCCTTCTAAGACGAACAATTTGATTTACAACAATATTTTATGCATATTTTATGGTATTATACCCTGCAAACTTTTAAATTGTAGTAATTTAATGCATATCAAACAAAATTACATGTACCTAGTTAGCGCACATCTCACTTAAAACGTTACTGATAATAATATTTAGACAGCGAAAAAAAGAAATTACAGTAGTAGGCCTACTCTATTAATTAAATTAAAATGTTACAAGCTTTCACAATTCCTTAAAGTTAAAACAAATACACACTAAATGATCAAATGGTAGTACAACAAGTCTTACTAACACAATGTAAATCCAACTCCTCCGTTAGCCACTCGAGGCGACTCTACATTGCAAATAGATCATTAGGTTGCATACAAACCCCCAACAGAAAGCGTGGTGGGGTTTCTACAGAATTATTTTGCATTATTATCAAAATTTTAAAAAGGGGTTGAAGACTGAAGTCGCGGTGGCTCAGGATGTTTACATCTTCCGCGACCTCATTCCATCCCCAAACACCCCCAGGCTTCTGGGGGGGTCCAGCCCCTGGGTACGCAACCAACTGTCTGTTTGTCTAACTTTTAATATACGCGTTATTCGATACAATTTGAACTTTTCCTCTAGGAGGTTGGCAATACCAACATCCAGGTGTACCAACTGCGGTGCCACGTCACTCCGGGCACGCTTGGGGTGCATGCAATATATTTACCATTGATACAATCAATCTAACATACAGCGACGACTGCATGCGACCTACAAATAATGTCTAAGTTACATAAACATAACTTAGATTACTAAACATTTACGTATATTCATATAGTGCGTAGACATAAATAATGTGCTGGTACCTATATATACTACAGTGACACCGTTTGTGATCGCGGCACCTTGTGATGGTCACCGCCAACAATGATTATCTCGAGCAAATCCATCTACAGTGACATTCGAACAAATTGTTAAGCAGTCAAAAATAAAATAAATGCTTAAACCTACAGTCTTTGTTTGCTTTCCTTGATAATTCTCAAATGTCGTACTATATAAACAAATGTGCTATAACATTTTTGTAACAAGTATATTTGATCTATTTTACCAATTCAATTTAACCTAATTACATTGTTTATAGCTAGAAATTTTTGAGTGTTGTATGTTAATTTTGTTCATATTAGTTTGCTAATTGATCCGTTAGTTTATTTTACGTTGCGTCTCATGACACACTTTAACAAGTAATCGTAAATCCATGGTAAACTTACTTACAGTAGACACTTTATTTATTTTAATTTTATGACTTCAGCCAGCTGCTGAGGCTCGTAGCAGAAAGCTGATTATTTTGCATCTTTGAAGGGAAAACATAAGGTGTTATTGCCACTCATTTTTTCATATGTCTTAGTATTAATATTTGAGAAACTATTTTTGAAATCACCTCGTATTTTATTACAAATAGTACCTATTGATAAACAACTGAATTTACATGATAAAATGTCCTTCAGTTATTTATTTAATTTAATAAATATATAATGTTTATTATGTTGCTTGACATTTAACATACAATGTTTTGAGAACTGATTATATACCATTCCCAAATCATTTAAGGTTTTGGTAAGAATTACAATGTCAGATTCCAACGTGATATGTGACTATTGCTTTGATTACTTTTCAATTTATCTCTGCAACGCGTCATCTGCTTCACATACAAGTGACAATGTCATCATTATTGCTTAGTCAGGTAGCTTGTTTTGTGTTGATATATAATTTTGTTTACATGAATGATGTAAACTCACTCATATGGCTTCTCTGTTTACGTGTAAAAAGGTATATTGTAAATAATAATAGTACTACATACTCTACTACAAATCTTGTACACAAAGTTATACTTAAACATTGTTCGAAGAATGGCAGTACTAGGTTTAATTTAAGATTATCATTGATCGGTTTGGTTCTGACGAAAGAGTCGCTTGCTAACGTATGGCCAAATAAAGTAAAACGCGACAAAAATCTAGCACAACTCGGGAGGCTATTTAACAATTATACTACAATATTTCAACAGTCTTACTGGAAATTGAAAATATTCTATATAATCAGTCAATTAAGTAAATAAAACTAAGACTCCTACGAACTTATACCTAAAAATAAATACGTACCTTTTACAACCTAACTAGATATTGTGTTTGAAAATAGTAGGAATTTTCAGTTCCGTGCATTATGTCTTAAATACAAAAAATATATTTCTTTTCCTGTCGTCTCGTTCTAGGGTAGGGCTTAAAGTAGGCCAGAGGCGCCACCCGAGGAATGGTCAATCGCTAAACAACTAAGATAGATACAAATATAGTTATACGTAAGTGTACGGAATGTAGAAACTTACAAGAGAACATCTCAATCTCATGCGTAAAACATATGACACGAAAATAACGACTTTTTGAAACACTCAATATTTTGGAACACCTTAAGCGAACTCAAGTAGATTTTTAGGTGGCGCCTACACTTAGATGATTAAATGGAAGTAAGCCACGGGGAAACACTGTAGGTAGAGTCTCTAGGTCGGAGTTAGCGGCCGCGGGCCCATCGCAGCAACGCGTCTGCTAGGATATCCAAGTGAGCCTTCGTCTGGAACAAGAACGAACAAAAGTTAACATCATACAGATGAAACACTGTAGGTAGAGTCTCTAGGTTCGAGTTAGCGGCCGCGGGCCCATCGCAGCAACGCGTCTGCTAGGATATCCAAGTGAGCCTTCGTCTGGAACAAGAACGAACAAAAGTTAACATCATACAGATGAAACACTGTAGGTAGAGTCTCTAGGTCGGAGTTAGCGGCCGCGGGCCCATCGCAGCAACGCGTCTGCTAGGATATCCAAGTGAGCCTTCGTCTGGAACAAGAATGAACAAAAGTTAACATTACACAAATACAACACTATTTGTAGAGTCTCTAGGTTGGAGTTAGCGGCCACGGGCCCATCGCAGCAACGCGTCTGCTAGGATATCCAAGTGAGCCTTCGTCTGGAACAAGAATGAACAAAAGTTAACATTACACAAATACAACACTATTTGTAGAGTCTCTAGGTTGGAGTTAGCGGCCACGGGCCCATCGCAGCAACGCGTCTGCTAGGATATCCAAGTGAGCCTTCGTCTGGAACAAGAATGAACAAAAGTTAACATTACACAAATACAACACTATTTGTAGAGTCTCTAGGTCGGAGTTAGCGGCCGCGGGCCCATCGCAGCAACGCGTCTGCTAGGATATCCAAGTGAGCCTTCGTCTGGAACAAGAATGAACAAAAGTTAACATTACACAAATACAACACTATATGTAGAGTCTCTAGGTCGGAGTTAGCGGCCGCGGGCCCATCGCAGCAACGCGTCTGCTAGGATATCCAAGTAAGCCTTCGTCTGGAACAAGAATGAACAAAAGTTAACATTACACAAATACAACACTATATGTAGAGTCTCTAGGTCGGAGTTAGCGGCCACGGGCCCATCGCAGCAACGCGTCTGCTAGGATATCCAAGTGAGCCTTCGTATGGAACAAGAATGAACAAAAGTTAACATCATACAGATGAAACACTGTAGGTAGAGTCTCTAGGTCGGAGTTAGCGGCCGCGGGCCCATCGCAGCAACGCGTCTGCTAGGATATCCAAGTGAGCCTTCGTCTGGAACAAGAATGAACAAAAGTTAACATTACACAAATACAACACTATATGTAGAGTCTCTAGGTCGGAGTTAGCGGCCGCGGGCCCATCGCAGCAACGCGTCTGCTAGGATATCCAAGTGAGCCTTCGTCTGGAACAAGAATGAACAAAAGTTAACATCATACAGATGAAACACTGTAGGTAGAGTCTCTAGGTTGGAGTTGGTAGCCGCGGGCCCATCGCAGGAACGCGTCTGCTAGGATATCCAAGTGAGCCTTCGTATGGAACAAGAATGAACAAAAGTTAACATCATACAGATGAAACACTGTAGGTAGAGTCTCTAGGTTGGAGTTGGTAGCCGCGGGCCCATCGCAGCAACGCGTCTGCTAGGATATCCAAGTGAGCCTTCGTCTGGAACAAGAATGAACAAAAGTTAACATTACACAAATACAACACTATATGTAGAGTCTCTAGGTCGGAGTTAGCGGCCGCGGGCCCATCGCAGCAACGCGTCTGCTAGGATATCCAAGTGAGCCTTCGTCTGGAACAAGAATGAACAAAAGTTAACATTACACAGATGAAACACTGTAGGTAGAGTCTCTAGGTTGGAGTTGGTAGCCGCGGGCCCATCGCAGCAACGCGTCTGCTAGGATATCCAAGTAAGCCTTGATCTGGAATAAGAATTAACACACGTAAACAACGTCTTTTGTAAACTTCCGAGTCATTTAGATTGTAAAAACAAAGAAGATGTCGGAATTTAATACAGACAATATATAAATAATGAATATTATTGAGCGGAGCGAGCGAAGCGAGCGAAGCTCTTATACGTCGACTTTTATGCATTTCGTAATACGCAAACTCCTTCTAGACGGCTGAATCAATCGTTTTCAAATTTTGGATGGTGATAAAGATCATATCGGTGAGTGCCAACATCTATATGGCGTTAAAAATAACTCTCAGGAATCCGCCCCACTGGGTCTCAAAGTTTCAATGTAATCCTTATGGAAGCAGTATTTGACACATAAACAAAGAAATATGATCAGCTGTTGACTTTTAAATGCAGTAGATAAATAAATAGCTGATAGCATTATTCCACAGATATTAGAACATAAACGGTGGTATGGATCATAAAATAAACAAATGACGACACTAGCTTGAGGTCCGCGACGTAGGAAGTGTTAAAGTAAGTACTAAAGGTGAGCAGTCTGGAGTGTGCAAACTGTTTATGACGATTAGATTTAGGTATCTGCATTCCAAAAATTATAAGTGAAGGGAGGAAAACGGGTACGCGACGTAGGAAGTAATGAAGGAAGTAGTCAAGGCAAGCTGTCCGGAGTGTGGAAACTGCTTATGACCATTATATTAAGATATTTGCAATCCTATGATGCTATGGGAAGAGAGGGAAACATGTCCACGATGTAGGAAGTGGTGAAGGAGGTAGTCAAGGCATGCTGTCCGGAGTATGGGAACTGTTTATGACGATTAGATGATGATATCTGCAATCATAAAATGCTATGGGAAGGGAGGATAACGGGTCTGCGACGTAGGAAGTGATGAAGGAAGTAGTCAAGGCAAGCTGTCCGGAGTGTGGGAACTGTTTATGACGATTAGATTAAGGTATCTGCAATCATAAAAGTCTACGGAAAGGGAGGGAAACAGGTCCGTGGCGTAGGAAGTGGCGAAGGAAGTAGTAAAGACGAGCAGTCCGGAATGTTGGAACTGCTTATGACGATTACATTAAGGTATCTGCAATCATAAAATGCTATGGAAAGGGAGGAAAACGGGTCCGCGACGTAGGAAGTGATAAAGGAAGTAGTCAAGGCAAGCTGTCCGGGTTGTGGGAACTGCTTAAGACCATTATATTAAGGTATTTGCAATCCTATGATGCTATGGGAAGGGAGGGAAACATGTCCGTCACGTAGGAAGTGGCGATGGAAGTAGTAAAGGCGAGCAGTCCGGAGTGTTGGAACTGTTTATGACGATTAGATTAAGGTATCTGCAATCATAAAATTCTATGGGAAGGGAGGAAAATATGTGCACGATGTAGGAAGTGATGAAGGAAGTAGTCAAAGCAAGCTGTCCGGAGTGTGGGAACTGTTTATGACGATTAGATTAAGGTATCTGCAATCATAAAAGTCTACGGAAAGGGAGGGAAACAGGTCCGTGGTGTAGGAAGTGGCGAAGGAAGTAGTAAAGACGAGCAGTCCGGAATGTTGGAACTGCTTATGACGTTTACATTAAGGTATCTGCAATCATAAAATGCTATGGAAAGGGAGGAAAACGGGTCCGCGACGTAGGAAGTGATGAAGGAAGTAGTCAAGGCAAGCTGTCCGGGTTGTGGGAACTGCTTAAGACCATTATATTAAGGTATTTGCAATCCTATGATGCTATGGGAAGGGAGGGAAACATGTCCGTCACGTAGGAAGTGGCGATGGAAGTAGTAAAGGCGAGCAGTCCGGAGTGTTGGAACTGTTTATGACGATTAGATTAAGGTATCTGCAATCATAAAATTCTATGGGAAGGGAGGAAAACAGGTCCACGATGTAGGAAGTGGTGAAGGAGGTAGTCAAGGCAAGCTGTCCGGAGTGTTGGAACTGTTTATGACGATTAGATTAAGGTATCTGCAATCATATGATGCTATGGGAAGGGAGGGAAACAGGTCCGTCACGTAGAGGAAGTGGTGAAGGAAGTAGTAAAGGCGAGCGTGTTGAGTGTGGGAATGGATTAATGTATCTGCAAAGCTAAAACGCTATGGGAAGAGACTCTAGACTGTAGCTTAAAATAATTTCGAAGCACGAATCGATACAAATTTCGATACATGCAATCGTTTATAATAGAAATTTACAACTGAGTTGACAACAGCTGATTTTTACTCCATAGAGGATAAAAACTATTTTTACTCCATAGAGGATAAAAACATTTTTATTTCCTAAAGAGTAAAATTGCTACTTTAGACCCGCAACGCATACATTAAAAACGACTGGTATTACTGCAGTATGACCAAAACAATATAATATAAACCCTTGACGACTCCGCTCAATTTTGTGGATGCCTCTGCGAACGCCACCCAGTTAATACAGAATTTAATATACAGAATCAAATTTATCATAACAGAGAAAAATTTTAGACAGTTGCTTTTATAGATAATACTGCTGAAGAAATTAAAATGTTATATTCTATGCGCAATTTGTCAAAGGAGACAAAGGTAGTTTGCTATGCGCATATTTAAGGTTCTTCCTCGCATTCCATATATTATTAAAATGTTAAATATAATTCAAACCCTTTTGCAAAGTGTAGGTAAAAGATTAAATGAAATACAAGTTTTTAAAGTTATGAATTAATATGTTTAACGATGAAATATGGTTTGACTTATGGTTTTACTATAAATAAGTCAAATTACCGTTTTGTAGAACATGCACGCCTGCCTGTCCTCGTCCTCCCCGCTGGGACAGTCTATGAATCCGTCGCAGAGGACGTGATCGTCTATACAGCGGTACCTTCCGGTTCTGTCGGGTGTGGGACATGCGAACCTCTCCATGCCGTCCTCTTCCGCCGGCGGGCACTCTGCAACAGACACACAGTCATCAGATGTGTACAAGAATGGTGGATATTGTGTCGAAGAAACTCCCAGCAAGGAGAATCAAGGTAATGTGGTGAAAGAATCCTTGGGAATAGGATGAGAAATGTGAGAAGTTTGGTTCACAAGATTCACAAGCTGTAAATTGTAGCGAGAACTATTTTGTTGGCGTACTTACAACATCAAAGCTTCATACCTAGGCCTACATTGTCCTCTTTAGTAATGCTAAACGAATGACAAACTTTGATAATTGGTCTATTATATGCCTTTGATCTTTCAGCAATATTAGTTGTCACAAAATACCTTGCAAAGGAACATAGGCTCAGTTATAGACCTGTCACAATGAGCCAAGTGCTGATGTTTAATTAAGTACAGTATAACAGTATCATTGACTATACACAGAGTAGACTTCCCTTTCAATGTAAAAATTTGAAACGAAGAAAATAGATTACGTTCAGGACCATTTTACCAGAGGGTACTAGTGTATTAGGTTAAATCATTGACTATTAGATACTGAAGGAGACATCCTATCCATAGGTATGGACCAACTTTCGCCAAATTGTTATTAAAAATTAACGTAACCTAGTTGTGGGAGCCAGACACAGGGTGCGCTAGTGTCTAAAATTCTACGTCCTACCTTTGTTTCCAGCATAATTTATGGGTAATAATAGTAGCTATGGCTTACAATAAGTCGTTCCATCAGTTTAACTTGGTATAAAAGTTCGTGGTATTCGACAGAAATAAGTAATTTACATTAGTATAATATGTCAGTGGCTCACATCAACTTCGACGATTTAACCTAAAAACTGGTGACAACTTTAACATGTGGATGGAATGTCCATAAATCAATTACTAATTAACATCCATGTCAACAGCTGATTGATTTATCACTTGACACAGATTGTCATTAGTTGGTAGACCATCTCAACAAATTGCACCACGTTTTTTCCTTTAAACTTTTATATTGGATGGGAAGTCTACTCTGTGCATACTCAACGACAGTACTTGTTATTCAGGACAGTACTTAATATTCTTAAGTTCGTTGTTGCACTTAAAGAAACCTTCACAAAAGACATGGGGACCTCCATAAAAGGTTGTGGTGTAGTTTGGACGTATATAAATTTGTAGGTTGCATTGGATACAGGATTTATTGAAGCACATTTGTAAATTGAAGCTTCAGTCGCCTACGAGTAGAGTGAGGGTTACATATTATACTATGTTTAAGTACAATAATTACTGTATTATTACATGTCAAAAAACCTGAGGCGAAGTTTTGTGTATACGATCAAGCAAAATGTTTCACATACCACATTCCCATTCCTTTCTGACCATAAGACTTGTTAACTTTTAACTTTTACTTGTCCATAACTCTAAAGACCCAAATTCTTCCATTTTATTTGGTTGTTGTTAAGAGTACTCTTAAAGGTTGTCCAGTCGGGATAGTTTCTTGAAAAGTATTGCAGTTTGCATACAGGTACTTTTACTCCCGTAACTTTCAACATAGGATTAATTCAGATGCTTTCCCATGCTAAGATTACTAAGATTAAGGTTTTAAAACACCCCTCCTCTGTTACACAGAAATTCAGACTTATACCTTCCACAGTGGAGAACTACGTTCACCTTTTTGATTCAGCGCGCATTCCAAGGGGTATGATTATTAAGATTAACCCAATCTAGTTTACATGAAGCAGAAGAACAGCGTAGACCTGCTAAAACAAATTGTTCAGGGATAAATTCAATTACTACCACTCAATGTCACATTGGTCATCGTACGTACAATCCCCAAACGACTAAGATTTCAATCCAAACTCTAAAATAGCCCAAATGAACGTCGAGTTCAGTACGTTTAAGACCTGGACATAACTACCGCTTCTAAGATTTTTGTCCTCAATAAGTTTGTTCATTGTGTATTTAAGAAAGAGTCAAAAACCTCCTTTGCTTTAATCTATCCAATCAGATGGCTTGAATCATTCTCGAAAGAAGGCCCTTTCGTTTTCGATAAGTCTCATAACACGTTATATGACGCTAAGATTGTCTAGCCAAGAAAAATACTCGACTTAGGTTGTTATCCATTCTTTAGTTCCCCATCTACAACCGTATACCTACCTACCCTAGGTTAGTTAACCCAACTACAAACAAATTTAAAATCCCAGCATCAAACCTTTTCCCGCGATATTTCGTTGATGAGTTTTCTAATGTTTGGAATGACTTATTTGCATCTATCCCTATTGAATGCATTGGTAGAACAAGAAATTACAACATTAGGTCCTACACATCAAAGAATTTATCCCATCTATATTTTTACATTTAACAGTGTTTTCATCAAAATTATAGCTTAACTGAAGAAGAAGGGAAGGTATATGTCTCGTAGGGTGTAACGTTCTGGTGGAAGCTATTAAATCTATTTCAATAGTATTATGATAAGAACACGATATTTATTAGGTGTAATGAAAACCATTATGTGATAGATACCATGAAAGCTGGTTAGTTGGTTATCGGAGCTTTTTAGTTGTGTATTTGTTTTTTTATTTTTTCTTTAGTCACTAGTTTCAATTTCGGATAGAAAATGATGAGGTGTGTAGGTGAAGAGTTTATTTTTGTGTCGTGGAGTAAATAATTTAATTTAACATAATTGAAATGTATTGTTGAGTCCGGTAAGATCTACTTTCTATGTTCTGGTTTTATATATTTTATATATTATCTTTTGTATATTTCAACTTTATTTAGAGGATCAGGCACGTGGTTTTTAGGTATTTGTAATGGAGCCAGTATACATCGTCCATCTCTCAACAAGTTTTGAATGTGTCAAAAAAAGAAAGGAGAACGGATATTTTTAATTTGTATGATTGATTTGGTTTACTTTACTTTACTTTTAATTCTATGATGGTAAAATCTTATCGTTCATGTTAAACATTTTGTAATTTTCAACTGTACCGGCTCACCCCTTGCTTTGCTAGATCCGTTCCATGCACAGTTCTGTAGTCTTTGTAAACGGGCAAATGCAAGGTTAAAAGAGGCCGCCAACCTCTAAAACAATTTTTATTAAATTAATTTATTGTCTTGTTGTAATTAAACACAAACACTTTTTTACAAATCCATATTCTTTAAAATCATCATTTGCTTATAGTGAGTGCTGTATGCATAATTAAATGCATAATATGGTATGTTTACCCTTGCGCGTACTCTTAACCTCGCTCAGCTCGAATTTACTTTTCATATTTTTACATTGTATACATATTTATGCCAAGGATAGAAACTTTGAGCGAAGATACAAATAGTTTACAAGCAAGACGGCAATAAAAGATACAGATTCACAAGATCTCTGAGATGTAAATAAATTCAAAGTGACGGATGCATCCCTTGACAGTAAAAAGTTATTGGTTTCCATCCCGGGGCGGCAGAACCACCCTCCCCTGGACCAATCACATAGATTGATCCGGTGCTATATTTCATATCACTCACGGCACTGACCTCTTCACTGCTATCTAAATTTAGTAGGTTATAATTTAATTTACATATCGTCCGAACTAACCGAGATAACACGATCCGTCCACCCTCTCAACAAGTTTTAATATACGTTTTTTTAGGAGAAAGGATATTTGTAGGTTGTATGATAGATTTTTTTTACTAGTACTAGCTTTATCAAAGGCATTTAAGGTGGATAAGGTTTACTTATACTATTAATTTATTAGCTAAATGTTTAAAAAGCATTGCATATGTATAGATGTATTCCTAACTAATAAAACTAAATTTGACCAGGACATTACGATTGAATCAATATTTAATTAGCACGTATTTACATACCTGGTAGTTGATTATTTTCTATACTTTCTTTCCTTAGTGTCTTTTCTTGCCTTTATGGGAGACTTACAGCCAAAACAGTAAAGACCGATTTAGTATATTCTTCTAACTAATCTTAGCTTTGCCAAGAACATATAATTTTGACTTCAATAACATATGCAATTACAATTACTCTTGTGGATGAAAATAGAGAGTGGAAATAGTATATCATTACAAGTAATGGAAGCGTTTCATGTGTGATGCTAAACCGTGTACACAGAAACTCCAAATCCTCTAGTGCGTGGGAGGTTCCTGATAATAACTTTTGGCACAATTTATGAACAATATTTTTCATCAAGACACAAAAACACACACATACAGAATAACAGACCTCAGTAAAATTAAAATTATTAGCCTATTTTATCATTAAACATTCTTGAAATATAAAAATAAAATTTATTGGGTTGTTTCTAACCTGCATAACAAAGTCGAAATTGGAAATGCGATGTTATAAATTTATTATTACAAGTGATATTAGATGAATTTATTTCACTTTCAAGTTGTTTAAACACGTACTATAGTTACCAAGAAGATTCTTTAATGTTCAATGCACATGAAGTATGCTAAAAAAACTGGAAAACTAGGTTATGTCTATTCTTGTTTACATTTTGATTAATGAGCAGTAAAAACAGATGATTTAAATTATCAAAATATATTGTAAGGAAACAATAGTGCGCGTAGTAAGTAAAGAGAACTGATTGAACTGATTGAAAGTAAAGGAAAGTAAAAAGAGCTTAGGAAACCATTATTTTCTTTCATATTAGCTGAGATTAAAAATAGCTTTCGGTACGGAGTGATTAAAATAATAAAGCATAATTTGTGGTGATCAAGAACTTTCATACTTCCCTACCCCTCAAATTATTAAAAATTGTTCAACCGAAAGATCTATTTGACGATGAATGCATTTTGGCAAGGACGTAAATGATCGGTTTCTTAGACAGCCACCAAGAGTCCTAATCCTGAGGTGGAATTAAGTGATTTGTTTTCAAATCCAACCACCTAAGAGGAAAGTGTTGTTCGAGAACAGTTAAGGTGACACAGTTTTCTTTGAGCTAAAAACAGTGTGTGTATTTTGCGAGGTGGTCGATGATGGGCTAGTGGAGGGGAGGATAACAATGAACTCTTTATAAACAGCCAGTCGCTTAGTACGTCTTTTCTTATGTGTCCAAAGACTAACCTGAGAAACTTTAGTACTATTTTCATTTCGTATTGATACCGGGATAAAATTAGGCTGCCCTAAAGAAATTTTTCGTCATACTGCAGCAAAACAGCCGTTTTTATTCATGTCTAAAGTATCATGTTTACTCACTAGGGAGTAAAATCTGCTGTTGTAAACAGTTGTAAATTTTGATTGTAGCAATCACATGGATCGAAATTATATTTCGATTTGATTTATTAGGCAAGGTATCCTTGTCAATATTATAGCGTATCGATGGTGGTCAACATGTGTGTATGTTTACACAATCGTAATAGACGAAATGATCGAATGACTACTAAACGCCTGATTATTTACATGAGCAGAATTTATAACAAGCAGTATTTTCCTTTTCTTCCTTAGTTTGTTAATTAATGATGCAAAATGACGAAAACATATAGTTCGTCACACGGGCAGATGGTGTCTTTTTAACTCTCGCTCATTTTCTGACCTCGGTTTAGCCTCGATCGTAAATCTTGAACTTGGGTCGATAATAGTGACTTTACGCCCTAGTGATGAAATTAACTATATATTTAATGGCTAATTCAGTGGACTTTTTCAGTTAGTTACCAACAATTTCAGAGTATTAATACTGAATTATTCAACAGTAGCCAACAATTATACAATAAGAATATTGATTAATTCAGTGAAACACTCTTGTTTTTTTTGTTATTTTCTTTAGAGTAAAAAATCCGAACCGTTTTTTCCTTATACCGAAAGTTCTACCAAAGCCAGAAACACGTAGGCCTACCTGTAGACTATATAGACACAAAAAAGATGTATCTATATGCACGGCCTATAAAAGTTAGTTCAGGCTAAGAAACAAAATTTGCATACGTACATAATAATTAAAAACATTAAATATATCCTTCACATAAAAGGTATTTAAATATTGTTTACGTTTAGTCTAATTTACTTGGAATTAAAAAGTACATTTTGGGAGCAGTCAAAATATGTAAGTATTTAATTCGCAGATTTAAAGATTTTTAATTCAAACAAACCCTTCTTTTGGATAAAAACCTTATAGATTCTAAAAGCCTGGAGTAGGACTAGTCTTAACCTTTTACTCATTAGACAGACTTAAACTCTTCAAAACCAACACACGTCACTTTAGGAAAAATTTCTGTACAATCCGGTACCAAAACACATCAGGAGAAACGCTTTTGGCTATATGCAATCATCCGACTTCTAAATAACTGCCAAGCAAGCGAGACTTTTAAGAAAACTAATCTTCTTTCCCTTCAAAGTGTCCAATTATCTGAGTTGAAACTTTCTTAAGAAAAGTTTTATATGATTGAGTTGATACTTTTAAATTAAGTTCATTAACCTAATACGTGAATATATTACATTTTTCAAAAATCTTTAGATTAAAGTATAAATCAGCTCAAAAACTATTGACATGTCTGATTAAGTGTATTTTTAATAATTTGTAAGCAACATATTAGTCTGCAGCATATTTTTGAATTTATATGTGTATTTAAATGTAGACCTACTCTAAACCCTCTCTAATATGGCTGTAGACTAATTTCCTCGTAAATGAGGGTGGGTTTGTAAATAAAGTTAGCTGTTAAAAAACTTATGAAATATGTAGTTTACATTATTTTAGTTTTACTATTTACAGTGAGATTTATTACTGCAAGCAGAAAAAATGCTCATTTAAATTTTCTAGATCAATTCGTTTGCACTTCTAATCTAATCGATACGTTATAGATTATTTATATTTGAAACTATTAAATATAGCATACTTTTAATCTGAAATAGTAATGACTTGTAAATTATGTACAACATTTCTAAAACATCACTCACATGCGGGCTCTATCATGCCTGACTAAATAACGATGCCAAAGCAATACATTTTAAGCTATAAAATATGTCAAACGTCAGTTTAATACTTACGATTTGTTGTAAATACTATTTTAAATATGTATAATTTTATCTCAAAATGTTTAGATATATCTACATTATTGTAAGGTTATTTATGGCTTCTATTTATGGATTGCATTTTAAAATAATGCAACAGGTAATACTTTTTCCATAATTAATTGTTATCGGATAGTTTGTATTGTTTATTTTTTTTTATCTTTATCTCTAAATGGATTACAAATTTGTTACTATTTATGGCAACTCATTGTTATATGGAGTATTTACAGTCTGGAAACGAACCCGGGAGGTAAAACCATGCATATTTTCATCTAACAAAATTTGTCGAGGCCATGCATACACTGTCTATCTCTTCTACAGACCCACATTCGAAGCTGAAATTCGGAAACATTCCCCTATCTGTTGACGTAGTTAATACATCTTCCAGCTCATTACAAAGGGTGAAGCGGAGGATGTATTAAGCTAATCTATCATTCAGCTAGCAGCTAAGCACGACATCCTTGTTGGTCGTAGCTTACCTACTGTAGGCAGATGTCCTACCACAGGACCCGGTACCTCAGGCGGGTACAGCCACCGATCTGCAAATCAAAAACCACTTTGGAAAGTCCATTAATGACACATTGTAACGACACGGAACACACAAACACTGGTCGAGATCGAAGGTCTGTGACGAAATGTCTATTGTAAATAATATTATGTCAGTGTAAGCATTATTTGTTTGACGATTTTGACAGCTTGCTTACATATGACAGATGTACTGTATATTCAATAAAAAAAACTAGTTAAAGAAGTAAAGACTCGTTAAGAAATATCAGTTTTGGCAGAATAATAAGATAACTTATCATTTTAACATTTACAGTCATATCAACAGGTTACAAATTCACTCTTGATATAAGTATACTGACTATTTTCATTGTTTGCAGGAATCTATATACAAATCGAGGAATTTCCCTAACTTATATATTTTTAACTGAAAAGCACATCAAGGCATTTTAACTGTTCAAAACATAGAGACAGTAACACTGTTGGAGGGTGGGGTATCATCGAATATACTCTACTTTCGTTTAACCCCCAGTAGGATTGTTATAGGTAGTTAAAATTTTAGATGACTTTTCAATGCGCCTCATTTGAAACAAACGTTATACCCTTTTTGTTTATGATAATTTAAAATGTTTACAAAACGCTTATTCATTATAAACTATAAAGATCGCACAGATTAGCCCAACTAAAAGAGTTCAATCTTAATTTATTGTTTTTTCGTTTTATATTCAAAGATAACACTGGTTTATTGTAAAATTATTAATTTATAAAATTTGATGTCTCTATAAAAGTATTTTTTTAGACGGATTACGAGTCACTGTTATGATAACTTTAACAGAAATACAATTTTAAATAATCGGCTAAAACAATAAAACATAACTATAGAAAAAATCCCCCGTTACATACAAAGTAAGATGCTATAGACTATACGGATTTTAATGCAATAAAATCTTTCATTCCGAATCGAAATATAAACTATTTCAAGCTGGATTATCATTGTTAAGCTAGATGATTGTGCCAAAAGCAGCGCGTTAAACAACAGGAACTTCATCTACAGAGCATTCAAAAGTTTGGACGCTTGCTGGCTTGTCTGAAAACAAATGAGTCGAGATATAAACACTGTCTGGTGTCAAGTAAAACTTGGACGAGTTATGGTACAAGTTGTTGCGAGGTTTGTCGTAGCTTTCAGTGAATATTTGAGTTCAACACAACAGCCGGATAAGTTACTTTACTACTTGACAGATTTCATAAAATGCCTTTAACATCCGGAGAAAAATTATCCTCTATTATTATCCTTTTTATATAACAAAAAAAACACGCCTCTATTATTTTATTTTCAAACTTACATTTAATTAAATACACTGTTTATGACGTGCATTAGTCTATTGCTATTGTACGGATCTTCGTTTTTCGAGGCCCCGGACTCACATCCCACCAATCCTGATGGATTTTAACTATTGTGATTAAGCAGAAACTCTCTAGAGCTAGCTTCAGGTAAAATATAAATACCCCCGCCGCAGCAAACCTGCCGTCTAAGCGAATTTCCATTTGGCCGAATTGATTTTCAATTGATCTATTTAAATAACATTAGGTTTAACGAGTACCTAGGTTTGCTGCTACAAGGAAACTAATAAAGTAGTGTGTTTTTAGTAAAATATTGATAGCTTACTATAAAATAAATAAATTTGCCAAGTTTGATCAAAATATATCCATAAACAAGCAAACTACAACATTTTACAATATTCTCCATAAGAATAACATGGGAATTTTAAATTTATCATTTTTTTAGTTTTCTCCGTAACCAATAACCGTACAAAAACACTTTGATATACTGAATTGTTTGTTTTTTTAAGCTCTTTAAGAAGGTTTAGAGAAAAATTGGGAAATTTTGTGTTTTGAGGGTAAGAAGTGAGAAAAACCAATTTTTACCCCATAAAACCCCCCATTAAACCCTGTTCCCATGGTCCGATCATGCTGGATCGCGAACTCATTCAAGTTTATCCCGCCTTACACCTTCAAACCAAATTTCATCAAAATCGGATAAAAATTACTCAAGTTATCGTGTTCACGGACACATATATATATATATATATATATATATAAATCTATATATATATATACCTATATATATATACATATATAAAAATTTGAACGAATGGTGTTTTTGGCCTCTGGGGACATTAAAATGAAAAAGTAAATCGGTCCCGGGCCTAAGTCTTACCATGAGACCTACGGTAATAGCTACTTCCCTATAGGGAAATTCGCTAAAAGGTTCCTGGTTGGAGCTTAACGTCTTAGAAAGTGAAGGTAACGTAAAGTATTTGACAGATCTAGCTGAGAGGAATAGCTCTTTCGTTTCCATACCGAAACTGACTGAGCTTATCACAGGCTAAAATTATTTATAAACTATTATCCATAAGACTTATTTTACCCTGGTATAAATCAAAATGACAAAAAACGAGCGGAATCAACTTCTTTTTCCGATGCAAAATCTTCATTGTAAAAAGTATGAATGAACGTTAGTCATATAACTTTTACGGTCCGGAAATGAAAAATTGGTTAATTCAGACACTGAGGTGAGAGGGTCAGTAATTGGACTCTGGCAGACTTGGATTATCCCCCGTCCCCTCACCCTTCCCACAAATCCACCACCTCCCCCTTCCCCTCACCCTTCCCACAAATCCACCACCTCCCCCTAACACGAACGCCCAAGGATTAACCGTAAATGAAACACATCATCTCGCTGGCTCAAAATCTTTTAGGATCATTTGCCTTTTTTTCTTCTGACAAAAAATCATCAACTACTAATGTAGCTAGAATATGATTTAAAAACATTAATTAAGCCTATTTTAAATCTTAACAATAAATCTGTAAGATGTACTTCTCATTTTAGTTTTATTCAATCAGGTATGTTCTTCTTCACTACTTATCACCCTATTTATCTTTTTTTGGAGATATAAAATTGACTTAAAAAGCCTATCAGAGGTATGAGAGTACGCATAAAAGTTGATGAATTGTGCCTTATAATAATTATTGCTCTCCGGATCATAAATCAAAGATTTGCTACATATATGAAATATCTTTGTTAATCAAAATATTGACGTATAATGACTCTCGTATACGTATACTTATATGTACCGGAAGTCGAGTCGGTTTTAGCTTCATTAATTAACTGAAGCAATCATTGACAGAATCGCTTGAGATACGTATTTACATTACCACCTACAACCTACACTTCTACTGGTATGTAAAATTGACCTCAACTGGATTTTTATTTTTTAAACATTTTCATGCAAAATAATTTAGATTCTGAATAACGCGAAGGTCCTATTTCCAATAATAGTAAACTCGGCTCCAAAACAGAAACAGACGAGAACGATTTTTTACAAGAGAGCGGAGAAATAGGTTTATGTAGTGCCAAGACATTTGCCTGGAACTGCTGGGCTCCCTCCGGGATCTACTACTTGACTTGAATGAAAACAACCACCCACACAAGACTTGAAACTCTTACAGTCGTCACGCTTTACAAAACTCTTTCCTCTGTCATGTAATACGTCCTTCCTAAACGGGAAACTTAACAGGCGAACTTAAGTCCACCGTACTGTAGTTTGTCGCACAAAATATAAGCGACAAGATATACGTTTGTATAAATAGATTTAAGTATATTCTTTTTGGGAACCTAAACGATTTCAATATAATCCCTCAGAAATATTTCTGCTACATGTCACGTTTTTAAACAGTTTAAAGCATCTAACTTCTTTTACTTTTACAGAAAGTTTTAATGGGTACTTATTGAAAACTTATAAGGAAATTAACTTCTCTTCACACAGTCTGATGTTAAAATTGAAATCGTGACGTGATCGTAAAATGTCATTAGGTGATGAGCCCATTAGGACTCGACATCTCTTAAACCTGTTATAGTATCCTTTTTTTATCACTGCGTCTGGTACGAACATATTAGTGATATACTCCTTTTATCTATGGTGATATGTCCTAATAATACGCTTGCTAATAATTGACGCTTGCTTGTCGTCAATAATATTAACAACCATGGATATATTTAAATATCACAAAGAATCCGAAACGTAAATTTTAATTCGTAATTTTCTAAAGTGTATTTCCCACATTTTTAAACTGTTTGAAAATATTCATAAGCTCAATATCCTACAGAGTAAAAGTAGCGACGCAATTTCCACTTTAGTTAAATTAAAACGCTAAAGTAAAGGTGGATGGGGTGCGGAGCTGCCAACGCTTATGCATTATAAAGGAGGCCTCGTGAGAGTAATTCCATCTAAACTTGCAATGGTTTCATCTCATGGACAATGACACCGGGCTTGAGGCCGTCTTTCTTCGTTAGCGTGAGTCCCTATATCCTGCGAAATGGACTTTCCTTAGTATGACAAACTATGCTTAGAGACTCTTGCAATACCGATATGAAGACGATACTTCAAAATCTGTAATGTTTTTGTTTAAACCATTCATTTATCAAGTTTTGTATTTACATTTAATATACACTGTTATTTTCTTTGCCAATTTTCCAGGAGAACTGTAGTTTAGATGTAAATTAAACGTATATGTTTGACTTGAAATATTACTCACTAGGTTGTAGTGTTTATGTGCTACAGTCGTTTATTAAAATTTTACATTGTTTATGAATGTTTACAAAACATAACCTTTTTATTCAACCGGGAGACAGGTGACCAATAAAAAAGACTTCTGTGGCAATCCAAAAAGCACTTGTTAGAAATCGTTTGGGTACATAAAACATTCACTGTACAGTAAAAGTGGGTCTATCTAATAGAATTATGAAAAAAGTGACGCATTAAAGATTTTTCACTTTTAGTCTGTAAGACAATTTATTTTTTGTTTCCATTTTTCATTGGTAAAAAAGTACTGTACTCAAATTTAAATCGAATCATTTGCTCAACAGAGATACTGTATCATTAAAGATCCACATTCTCTAATGTGACTCATAATGTATATACGGTAATGTATTTCTTATAAAATGTTTAACATCTAAGAATAGTAAATCTGTTAC